ATAAAACATGTCTTTGTTACAATTAAAACATTATAAAAATTAGTGAAGCGCACTGTTCATTAAATTCTTTTGTTTCTCATCTTGCTTCCTTTAAAAATAATAACGTTAAATTAATTAGTGCCACTGAGTTCGAAAGGAAAACTTTTTTGAAAGTATTAAAAACTGTAATAGCATTTATTTATTTGGCCGTCTATGGATAATGTTTTAAGAACCACAGTGCTCTAGAGCGAATGAATACGAATCTAACACGATTTTAAATTATACACAAAATCACATTTGCAGCCCAGAATTCAATAAGATCATATTTAATACAGAAGGATATTTGGATTTCAATACCACAAAGAACGCATGTGGAAAAGTCTGACCATTTTGATATGGATTGCACTGTCTAGTCTTCTTTCACACTTTTCCGCTAGATTCCACTAGTGCACTGATACCCAAACCTGGTGAAAAGGACATGAGGTTGCGACGCCGACGCCATTTCTGGTCATGCGTCTTAAAATCAATCGCGTTAATACCGACAGATGGCACGCGACGCTTGTATCGTCATGCCAGCATAAATAAGTAACTGCATTATCTACTGTGTATCTAATGTCCTGCAGCCATAAAGACACAAGTTCGGGAGCGATGGCATGAAGTCCCAGATTGAAAGAAATGGACATTAATCAGGGTATAAGGCCGGCAGCCCTGTTACTTAATAACGGTCTTCTAGTTTTAATTGCAGACTTGAAACATGACCAGCTTATAAACAAAATAAGTTAAAACATGTACTGCATTTTTAGAGAGAATACTTTCATATTCCGAATTCAATAACATAATTTTTCAAAATTTCTAAAGAGGCTGTCACCGAATTATGTATTTTTTTTGCAGTAGTTCACACTTTAGATCGTTATGTTAGGTGCTGAGGAGAGGCGCTGGTCCTTCGTGCTTAGGTTTCTAGCTGAATGTTTAATCGTTTTAAATTCTAACCAGTTGCATTGTTTATGTGGGACTGCTATATTCTCCAACTACACTAATCCTCAGTCCTGGTTCCTTGCTGAATGTGTTGCGCCAACAGCACCAACAGATGGCATGCAACTCATGTAAAACTTTTACAAACCAGATAAAAACAGTCACATTATCTGCTGCGTATGTAATCGACTGACACCCTATAAATAAAAACATGATATTGAAACTAACTAACCAGATATTTAAAACAGGGTTTGTCTTCTGTAACAAATTTAATGTTAGTGTCATAATAGCTCGGATGTTTCGGAATTATAGATAATTGTTTCAAAGACACTTTAAGAACCTAATCACATTCGTTATATCTAAAATGAAAAGGAATTTTATTACTGCTACATACTACATATTCGGTACATTGCCCTTTTTAAATACGACTGTTTACACCAATGCACGTAAAAGTAAACTGCTTCCTAGAAAATCCCTGTCGCTTATGAAAGAAGTCGAGTTTGTATTTTTGGCCTCTAAGGACAAGGTGAGATTTCAGATTCTCATGGCAACGAGTAACTATGTACACAAACTAGCTAAATCTAATTAAAGTTCAACAAAGTTTGAAATTTTAAGAACAAAACTGTATTTTCTTACTTATATGTACGCTACCCGTATATAGATAAATATAAATAAGGAAACCTACTATAAAAGGAGGCATTTTAATAATTTGTTTTAGAAATTCAAGGACTTAATAGACTTTGCAAATCCGTCTAATGCTTCTACCGTATCTGTTTTTATCTTCAGTGATGACAAATCAAAGATATCCTCTAACATTCTCTTGTTTAAAACAAGACAAATAAACACAGATGACATTGAGAGAATGCTTCTTGGATTTCGGAAGTTTTGAATATGAGAACTTTACTGAAACTTTGGCAAAATTAATCACAGCGAATGTAAAGAATTGAAGCTGGTGTATTTTTACACTCAGTAATTTTGATTTCGTGTTATCGCAGCAGTCGAACAGTCATTTGAATCAGAAACCTTGACGAATCTAAAAATCATGTAAAATATATAGGCGTTAAATTGTGTATAAAAGGTGGTAGGTACCATACCAACGTAGAAACCTTTTAATATCGTTTTGATAATGAATTGATGGAAACCAATGTTCACAATGATGTCTCGAAAAAATGTACGAAGAGAATGAAGCTAATTGTGTACAGGCGAAATTACTAATGTTCTCTGATACTTGTCACCCGGTCAATTCGTTACGGGAATGAAAATATCGAAACGCTGGGTTACATAACTTCTGAGAATTCGTATTCCACGATATTCCTTGGAAAACAGTCTCTATAATATTCGTAGGTTACACAATGTTCTACGTGCTACAGCTAAAGAAAAATTCTACGTGGTTCTACTTCCTTTTTAGCTGGCGCTATTTTGAAATCGAGACGATGTCGTACACTTCCCACTATTAGTTAAATTAAATTTCCTAAAAACATTATCGATAAATTAAATATCACTTAATGCGTTTTAGTAAATCATCAACAGTTAAAAAGTAATCTTAGTATCATTTTTATGTTGACGTAACTTTATCAAATACACGTAACGGCCAAGTGTCATAGGTAAACACAGGCATCTCGCCACGGAAGCCCGGGTTTACAACCGGGGCAGTCCATGTGTGATTTTTGGTGGCATATGTGGCACTGAGAAAGGTTTTTATGTTTTCTCCGGTCAGTATTATTCAACTTCTGACACACATTCACTCATGTATAGGCAATTACGAAACAAAATGTATTGACTCGAAGAGGGGTCTTCATCTTCTTAATCAATTAAACTATGCTTCCACGCGCTTCGTATCGTTTTATATTAGTACAGAATCTCTTTGAAAATGTCGAGGACACCATGTCACAAGAGCGAATTGACATTTGAATTATATTAAATAGTGAGATGTATGTCATTCCAAAAGAGCGTAATTCTCCACACATAAATACAAACAATTATATTTGAGCGTATGAATAATAATCATAATAATCCAAATTTGTAAAAAGGAATAAGTGTAAGAATTAAGTCTCTTTTAAATCAGCCATGTTATTAATACGTCCTTCTGTCATGATGAGCTCGATATAATTCTATTCTTCATTTTCAGTTTAGTTATTTTGTTTTTGTGTATGATTTGATACAATTCCTAAAAGTGTCTTATAATTTGTACTTGAGCTTGCATTTAGCATTGAAATTTTTATTTGTACGTTCTTATTAACCAGTAAAAAGAGATATTCCATCCAATAAAAATTTGGAAGTGGTAGTTGCCATACAGAAGTCTGCTCAGCTATACTCTAAATAAGATTTGCGTTAAGAGTTGCACATGTCAGGTGTTTAACCTCTGTGTATTGGTAATGATATGTGGTAATTTTAACAACCAACATTCATACAAGCCGGGCGTTGACAGAACTATATATATTTTGATTATTACCAACTAAAGATTTAAATACGCAGAACTTTATAACTGACACTTTTTGAATACGAATCATGGGAAAACTTATTGCGGTGCAATCTGTAAAGTATAATCACAGTAGGCTAACCTCGGATATCGATAACAAGGTTAATATTCCGTAATATAATGTGTGTAGACCTTATTTGGGCATTCTGTACAAGTCGGAAATGCTCCTGACAAGTAATTAATTGTTCAAGAAAACGATAATGATGCCGGAAATTTGCTTCGAGGGACTGAAGTAAACAACAAAATCTCTGAAGATGGCTGGTTTCTGGATTGTAGAGCCGTGTAGTCTTGTAGAAGTTTGACAAGTTTCCCATCAGGGCTATGAGTCAAATCACGCTGATGATAGAGGCAGCAAGGACCTCTGAAGGAATGGTAAACTTCTACTGAACTACACGGCTCTGCAACCCACAAGAGAGCTATCTTAAGACTCAACGCAGTGAAAACCTCAAAATAAACAAAACTCCATCAAATATGCCGGTCTTTGAGTGGAGTTTTATACCTAGTATCTTTCTAGTACGAAGCAGGAATTCTAAACACACGACTTCGGCATTTTGTAAGCAATAAAAATATGATTTAAAACCACACAAGCCCAAAATGTGCTTTGCCATGATAAAAAATGTCTATTAGAACATCAAAATAATTTGGACCCGCGTATTTATCCGGTAATATAGAAGAAGCCAAACAAAAGCTGAGACGAAACAGTTACAACTTCTGACAGTTCTTTCAGCCAAAGGAAGGTAAGTCGCAAAAAAATATGTATTTGAATTGATAATAACCCAGAAGTTCACAATTCGAATAATACTTTCGGAATATGGTGTTTTGGTATATTAGTTATCACTAACTAATTCACTGGCTTACAAGACGTCTGGAAGGGACCGCTGTAAATTTGGCACAATGTCCGCTGAACTATTTGTAACTGAAACAGACAATAAGTATTTTGTCCAAACATACGTGAACTAGAGCAACATTTTTAGTAACCAAAGAGCAGCAATGTATAAAAATGTTTCCTTCTTCTACACCTTTAATGTTTATGTGTGTGTATCAGAGACTCGACATTAGTAACAAAATGATAAATGAGATAATATGTCATTGCTTATTTCAAATTTGAATCAAATAATCGTACACGCCTTGTAATCTGAATAAAAACAGACACAAAATTAACCTTTCGAATTGAAACATATCGTGTGTACTTTACCACGAAGTGTCTCTTTAACGAAAGACTTTAATGATGACTTCACAATGCTGCGGACGAAGCTAAGTCTCCAAACTTTGGTGTGTTCTCTATTCAATCACCTGATGCGACTAGTAACCCAAAATTTCATTATGCTTATTCGCCTTAAAAACTCCAGATCACACATCTCTAACCTTTACGGAGGGACTTATGTAGATATTTAAATAGATTTGAATTAATTTTTATTACGGCATAAAAGTTGAGACTTCAGATTGTCACAGAGATGAGTCTAAGGAAGCGTTATTTCGGACTAAAAGCGTTCTTTATTAATTTTATGAAATCATAATATATTTTATTCGTACAAAACACATGAATTCATCTGACGTAATTTCATGTGCATAAATAGGTGAATAGTTCGCTGTAATGATGGCGGTATAGTAATGTTCACTTCTGCACACACGCACACAACCACCTGAAGCGTTGCTAATGATGACAAATTCCTCTAAAGTTATGGTTTACTGCGGTGTTGTCTCCAGCTGTGTAAAGAAGTTTTCAGTATACATCATAATTACAGGTTAATAGTAGTATGAATACAAGGTTGACCGCTATTGTAATTTTTCTGTCAAATCTCATTACCTTAAAACTAAAGTTCATGTAGTCCAACACGTTTACAACTTCGTACTTCACAATCTAATGGTCTTCAGAATTTGTACGTTTCAATTTAAACATCTGTACGTTCTAGGCTACCCAAATAAAACTGAAGGCAGAACATTTCTGGGGCGCTAGGGCCGATATAAAATACGTAAAAGTAGCATACGGGCAAGCTGGACAGACGAAATGTCCCTGGCAATTGGAAAGGATGAGTGTATTTCGACAGGCGGAGGAGAACAAAGGGTTCTTACTTTCAGTCCTCAGTACCTTTCTAACTACAGCACTCTCTAAAATTGATACTACATCAGTGCTTGAAATCAAACGAACAATTCTGTTGCTACGTTAATGAAAGTGTTGGTTCCTGCTTGAATATGGACGGAACTAACTTGTGCCATTATACAAGGCGAGAAACAAGAGCTTTAAGCTGAAAATTCTTATACGGTGGTCAGATCTATTTGTCTCTCTGTCCGTATGTATACTTTTATTCACACGCCCGTGACTTTCAGCGAAGTTTTACTACACAAAGTGTAGAGATACACGTAATTTAGGAGCACCTGCTTCATAAATACGGTGTTTTAACATCAACTACATTAAAGATAGAATTTTCGTAAAAAAAACACTGATTACTAACAATTAATAAAATTACATAAATGTTAAAATCTTAATAAACGTTATTAGGTTATCGAATTAATACATGGGAGACAGAAATTGTATGTAGCATGCATATGAAGGATGAGAAATTCATTTGTCAATTTTAGTCAAAGAAGGAACATAATTTCTGATTACCAGTGATGGCTGTCTCCTGAAGTCTGTTGAATTATGATGCCAAGTTATTTGAAATAAACATTATAGGTAAAGGCGGCAGTATAGCCAAATTCCGAAACGCAGAGTATATCCGAATAAACCTCTTTCAAACAGTCTTACTGTAATGAATCAACAATTGCCACAAACCTTTAGTCGCTGAAAACTGTTACTATATAGGACGTTAATACTTTGAAACGTTCTTCCATTTCAGAAGTTGACAAAACTACGTCAAGGAGCATTAATATTGTATTAAATCATCACAATTCCTTTGCGTAAACTGAAATGGATCAGTACTAGCATCCTTCTCAAAAAGAAAGAAGTTAGAATCTGATAATCACTGCGTGCTAACATCTCCACCTTATTTGTAATTCCGAGTTTCGATTTCCGAATGTTAAGTATTGAGATTGCGGTCTCACCTTATTGCCACTCCAGCGTTACCTCCTCTCTGAGGACTCCCAAGGGAACCATCGGCGAGAAGGCAACGAACAAGCCAGCACGCCACATTCCTCAACCATCTTGGAATAGAACCTTGCGATCTCTGTGTCTGTGATCTGCTTCCTACCAACGTACCTTTATACTTCATAGCCTTTTCTTTATATTCCCTCTCTTTTTTGTTCTGGTCCATTTCTTCCACTCTTTGTAATGGAATTGTTTTCATTTTGTGCAGTTTTCCAGCATCGTCGCCTCGTGTGCACAATACGATCCAATATACGGTACAGGACAAGGGCGAACTTTCGCTGTGAACGTGTGTTATTCGCTTGCGAATCTTACCTGAGAAATATCGCAGACAACGAAACTTGAAGTTATTATTTAAAGTCAGTGGATAAGCCGAGAAAATGAAAAGTTAACTTTACCCGATATTACTGTGATACATTTAATGCGAAGAAAGTTTGTTGTCATTTGTCTACAGATGCACCCTTTCGCCATGAGACGTAACCGAGGCTTGTAAAGAATGTTCATATAATCTACATTTTGCAGCGACATTCTTCTTAAATTAACATGTTTAGAATAGTTCTCATGGAAGTGAATAGTTTTCTGTAGCGTTTTACAAAATTGCAGGTCTAAATTAAATATAAAACCGAGTTTAAAGTTTGTTGGAAATGAAGTTAAACTACGGGATAAGATAGATGGGGGAACTGAGAGATACAGAGCGGAGAACAAGCCAGCTTAAGGAAAGATAACAGAAAATATTCAACAGCTGCTCGTAAATGGTATCCATTCAACATGTTATAATGTGCCAGTAGGCACGAAAAGTCATACTCCTCAAAAATGAGTCATGCAAGGGATAGGTTCCTTTGACGAATATTTGGCATGATTCGGCAAAAACCTTTATAGTCTGAGAATACGTGTAACTTTTAATTCACTACATAAAACAATATCAGATAAAATTTTACTCAGTAAATAAGCTTTTGTGATTATGATGTTGAAATGACTCTAATCGTTACCGAAATTCTCAGCATTTTATGATACGAAATTTAACGCTTTATTGAGGCCCAGTTCATTATTGAGTGCCCCATTTGGTAGAAGACATTGCAGTGGCCATAAAATCACTGGTCCGTATGTTAAGTTATATCAATCAGTTCTCATACTCATATCGTATGTAAGATACATATTAATATTATCCTTCATTTTCAAAGTGATTTGAAAAAATAGATTATTATACGTTAGGCAAATTTGTAATACAGAGTAAGTAATGTATACTTTGCTTAATTATATAAAAGACTAATTCAATGTGTAAGTGACAAATTATGACCTGCTGTAATAAATATTTTTATTTCGAGTTTTACATACTAACTGAACGCTTCTGCCAGGCTAATTTATGTCAAGGCCATCAGGTGGAGCTCAGTCTAGGCTTAATCGATATATTTAAAATACGCAGAAGGATAGAGGGACAGATTTATTTTCCCAGCAGTCCTGAATTTTTCCTCCATCATACCTATTAGATAATCGGATTAGTCTCCGATATAATAAGCACCAAGTGCGAAAGTAACCGCTCATTTCCATCTTGCGTTTAGGTTAAGAAAGCTTACAGCTATAATTCTACTCCCCTGACATTCCTTCACATGATAGAATAAAACTGTCCCGCTATACGCACGCCATGTTGGTGCTTGGAGGAAGAAGACCTGGGCACTGGATGGGCGTGAGTGTTTAGCGTCGAGCAGAGGTCACAATGAAAAGGACCCTGGTATCCATTGACTACAAGGCTTGTTCACAGCTTGGTGCTGAGGTGTTAAAACCACATTTTTTTTAACTTATAAACAGAAATAACATCAAGGTGATGTTTTGAAAGCTCCTCCTTGCAGAAAAAACTCAGGCCTGTTTCTGTGGACCTATATATAGATTTAATGACAAAGAGAAATTTGATAGTTCTGTATAAACCAAAACTTAACGACTACATGTAACCGAAATTTTAACTCCTTACTGACAACTCGTGTCTTTTGATGCTTTTAAAAATTAATAAAAAATTTTACCTCTGACCTTTAGAAGCAATATGGAGCAAAGTTTTATAGCTGTTATTCACTGCCGTCACTCACACACACACACACGCGCATATATATATAAATATATATGTATATATATATATAAAGAGAGAGAGAGATTTATTATCTCCCTGGGCCTCTTCATAAAATTGTGCTGGCAATACAGTTGAAATTGAATACAATTAGACTCGATTAATAAACAAAATATCGCCGTAACTATGTAAGACCCCATGCAGGTCACGTAATGTTGCAAACCTGCTGCGCCTTCCGCCAATTGTCTTTCAACAATCGAAGTGCAAGGCATTGTCACAAGTGCAACGAGCGTTCATTGTTGAACACTACCTGGCATCTCGTTTGTGATAATAAGTTCACGGATACATTTACTGACTCTTTTGTTCCAGACAAAATTGACGATTTCTCGTCTTTGAAACCGTTTACGTGACGAAGGAACTGTTCACCGGGTTGCATCAAACACGAGGAGAAGGCGAATGTATGCTTCGCTGAAGGCGGTATACATTTCCAGCACATAACATACATTTTTTTGTTTTATGATTTTATTTTAATTTATTTTTTGACAGCAGAACATGTGTCAGGAATGGTTTGCGTGACTTTTAGATCAAACTCTGTTTATTATCTATGAAGGTTCTCTCAGCTATGTTATCTATAATTACTTAACACGCTCAGAATTTTAGAATCATATAATAAAGAATGATTAAATAATATTGGAATCTTTTATGAAATATGTTTCCTTAAATAATTTTCGTAAAAGCAGTTTTAATTTCAAGTAATCACACGGCATTTCCCTTTTATAATTTTTTTTTATCATTTTGAGAACTCTAGAGTATTATTTATCTTGGAAGCAATCACGTCTCAGTTTGTGAGTAAAATGCTGTACCACCGACTGCAAAGAGAGTCGGTGACAAAACTTCAATGTGTTGTAAAAAGATCAAAAGCAATGTGGAAACAAACATTTAATATTCAGGCATTGACTAAAAACTTCGTAGCTTACACTTTCATATTTGCATTCTGGAGGTACTTTGTTACAATTTCTCTCTGTAAACGGCTGATGTACCTTGTTTTTCCACACTTGTCTAGAATCTAGACCAGTGTTGGAAAAATGCATTGAAAATGTACACACCATCAAGCCAAAATTTTTATTACACTCGCAACACATCCTCTGATATAGCTGGCAGAAACTACAAATTTATTAATCGCCCAGTGTAAGTGTACTGTATAATAACGCGAATGGAAAGAAGTTCAGGCTTAATTAAATTTCGGCAAAATATTTTCCAGAATTTTAGTGATTTTGCTTTCGTTTCTCGCCTCGATCTCTATATATTGCAGATACAAAGGCTTTGTTACATGTTAAAATCCGTTGTTGGAATGCTATCTCACTGAAGACAAACGTTCCATAGACGGAAACGGAGTTTTTGTATTTCGTTAAATACGAAACGACAAGAAAAAATGTTTATGAAAGATCTTAGAGATATATTTTAAAGCGTTTCAAGAATATTTGTTAAATTCCTTTACTTTCTTGTAAATCAGTCAGTACCTCAGACACTATGGCGTAGAATGATAAAATGACTATGTATAACGAAATGAAACGGATATGAAAGGAAGCATTAAAAGCTGAACAATTATGGAATTTTCTTCGACGGCCTGAGGAAAACTACTATAAGAGCCAAAACGGTAGAATGTATCCTGGTCGTCGGGCCTTCTTGAAACGTAACACAATTACTATTTGACAGAGGCCCAAGTGCTGGGATTCTAAATTGCAATGAACAAAAGCCTGCCAAAGAAAAGACTGAAACCATTAAATATTAAGCTCAGTTTGAGCTGGGGGTTAATCAAAGCGAAGCGGACCAGAATTAATTTCGCTGAACAACTTTTAGCGTCAACCGCCCACATTTCACTGAAAATTATTTAGCAGCGTCGGAGTTGAATGTGCGGACCGAAAGGAGACAGACAGACACAACCCCACACATTAAACGTTCATTTTAGCGCGTTTTGCACGGACGATATCAATTAAAGTTGATCGTGCTGTTTGGTGCTTGCACCGTGTGGAAGTGAACCGTGCAGCCAACGTTTCAGAGGAACAGACTGCCTCCATCATTAGGGCTGAATTTATGAATGCTGCAAACAACTGAAGAACTTAGGGCGGACGACGGTCATTGTGGTGTAACTATTTTTGTGTGCGGAAAGCTGTTTTGGACGAAGGTGTGAACTAGTTAATAGTACGGGTTTTTGTTTGGCGGGGGAAGGCTCCCATTTTGGGAGAAAAACTTTGTGTGGATTAATATCAGTGTTTACGACTAAAATTCAGTTTTAAATCTGTACAGTGTGTGCTATATGCTCGTTCCATCTCACCAACATGATTTGATCATCCTAATAACATCTCTTGAAATACATATTGTAAAACTCCTGATTAATTCAACTGTCAGGAGCTCAGAAAAACTTATAATATGTAACTGGATGGAACAACTTCATACGTGTAATATACTACGCTATATTATCTGACTGAATACTGAATAAACGTTACCAGAAATGTGTGTTCAACTGAACGCGATCGATAAAAACGGGAGTACAGTATAATTCCCCGAATTCTAGCAAATAAACATACCGTGCATGGAGTACGTAATCGTCATTATTCTTTTAATATATGATTTTCTTTTAATGCCGCCGTGTTTTATATTACCAGCAACACACAGGAGACTATACAACAGTTCTTTGGTCCTACCTGAGATCATACGATTCCAGAAGCAGGCGGTAAAGGGGAAGACAGGATAAATTACGGTGGTGAGCAAAGTAGGATTAGACCTAAATGGGATACGGGGAATTGGGAATAGGGTAGGAGAAATATAAGGGGCTGGAACCAATTGCAGAAAGTCTGTAGTAAGCTATAAGGGTTTATATCTTACGGAGTAACAGAGGGCGGCCATACACCTTTCTCGTCCGTGCAGCAGCCCAATATTTTCTCAGTTGTTTCTTGCTCAAGGCGATAGTTTCCATATAGTACCCGGCGTTGGAGAGAAAGAAATCGTTAGGACCCCGCATGCAATCGCAAACAATATGGGCTCCTTCAGGCACCCTCTGTATATTGTAAGGCTAGGCAACGTTGTAATTCGAATAGAATTATTCCCGAATCTAAAAGGTCCACTTTCACTTTCTAAGGTCTTCCAGCTTGTAGTTACCGTATTTCTGTTAAAATGGAATTAGGCGTTTGAGACATAAAGCTTGCACAGATCTATAGCCTCCAAATTGAGTTCCTTACGCGAATTCGCAATCCTGTGGAGTGTGGGAAAAAATTGATTGGGATGACCGCCTGTCTGTACCAGTAAAAAAAACTCTAGAAAGGCGCATTCAAGTGAAATTTTGATATGGAATGTTGTATTACATTTGTCGACACATTCTAATTTCTATTAAATACGACAATAATCTTTTACTTACATAAAGATATTATATATATATATTTGATAGCAAGGTTTCCATGGCAGTGAAGATGTTGGTGTTGTTCTGGGTTGTGAAGCGTGTTGACATTTAGGTAGATACTAGAATTTCGGAGGAAAATAGTTACAGATGTAAGCAGTATTTCCTCCGAAACGCCGGTATCTATCTACAATTATACAAGGTTACACACCCAGAAGTCCATCACCGACACCTAGCTATGTTATTTCTTAGTTATATTTGTTATAATTTTACAGCGAAACAAAGTTTTTGTGTAGGTATATAAAACAACAATGTCAAATGTTGCAAATTTCGGGATCTGTTGCATTCAATCAATAACACATATATATTAGGAAGTGTGTTTGTTATGTAAGTTATCATATTTACATAAATTCTAAGGTATTAAACTTGTAAATATGTTGATTTAAAGTTGTATATTCAAATTAGCATAGCTGTCGCGAACGTAAGAATAGGACATTTCTAAAAAAATTCCTTTTAAAAATGTTATGATCTAGGCACTATACTTATGGAAATGTACCTCAATGAAAGTTGTTTAACTTCTTATTCTTAACACTTTTTAAATACAAAACGTTTGAATGTTGCAGATAATTCAGAATAATTTATATTATTCCTCCGTTTTCACCTGAGGAATCCTTGTGCTTTGTAATGCATGTAATTGCAGAATGTATACATATTTAACAAATGTGCATAAAGACTATGAATTTCCGAAGTCACTGAAATATTTTCAAACACACGCAATTTTGCGTGTGACATTAAAGTGGTGCTTTGTGGGCACCAGTTATATGGCGAACAGATGACTGAGCAAGGCACATGAATCATTCGACATACTTATTATGTCAGTTTGCGCTGATAAAATGTGGGTGGATCTTTGCAAGGTATTAATGTGAAATAGGAGAAATATTTCTAAGGAGACGTTTGTACTGCACCAAGGTACATCTTTCGTATGTGCTTCAAAGCAATTAGGTTTTTCAAATTTATTTTACTCGGAAGTAGAGTCACTCTGTGAGTGCAGGAGGTATACAAAATGTAACACAAAATGTGCGTACTCTATTAAAAAAGTAGAAGAATTACATACTTCTCAAGGCAATAACACAACATAATATCAGAAAGTTTTTTTTATATATTAAATAAAAACAACAGGCTAGTTATCGAAGCTGTTCGTATATTACAATGGGGAATTAACCAAATATATTCTTAAACGTATTTATCTAACACCTATGACATAATGATACTTAATGTATGGATATTTCTCTGCAACACTGGTATACGTATTACATTCTACGCAATAGCGAATATCTGAACATTGTCTTTGGGATGTGATAAGAGATAAACGAAGAGATATCAAGTCAGAGAGAAACATTTAATTTTTCGAGGAATGCACTGTTATATAAAACACCATTTACAGCTTTACAAAAAAGACTGTTCACTGATATCACGCCTAGTAGTCTAGCTTATATAATTAAATTCTTTAAGTGATTTTATATACGATATATTTTTTGGTAGAAGATGTATGAGGGCTTCAGAAAAAACCTGTAACATTGCCACATATATCCACAGAAAATCCCGTATAGAAAATTGTTGATATTTGAAACAGAAACACGCTGTTTTCTTTGCGGTAGGAACTGGATTTTTAAATATTATTTAGGCGAAATTCGATATTGGAAGTGAAAATGATATTATTTCCCAATTTTCCATTTTTTTTATTGTAACACAAAAATTGCTACGTTTCGAATTACCTAAAGTTTACAATTCATTCATTCGAGTGTAAAACGAATT